TCTCGTTCGTTAACGGAATTAACCAGACAAATCGCTCCACCAACTAAGAACGGCCATGCACCACCACCCATAGAATCAAGAAAGAGCTCTCAGTAAGAAAGAGCTCTCAGTAGTAAAGGTTAGAGAGAGAGAATTTCCCTCCCTTGGAAGAAAATTTTCGTCCATGGTGCCTTGCTCCTTTTGAGCTCAATCTTTCCTTGAATTCTTGTGTTTTGATTCATTCTCACTACATCCCGACGATTTAACCTCTGTTCGGAGTTAATATAGTTCAGATTTTTTCAAGTTTGGGCGAGTTTGCTAGGGTTTGCGAGCAGTAGCATATCCACGACCCTTGCTCAAATCCTGCTGATTTTGTGCGTATTTGTTGTTGAATTAACGCACCTTGACACTAGCCCTCCCATTATGCTTTGTTTCGTAACGATTGGAGCATGAAGCGATCGTCTTCCCCATCTACCTAAACTGCTACAGTGCCCGCTGCTGCAAAATTGGGGGAAAATGCCCAGATCCAAGAAAAGGTCCGTTTTCCGTCAACTAAAAATTGATAATTCATACATACGTGATGTGCAAGATGAAAATGAGCATGAAGAAGGCGAGTATAGCCACCAAGCTGCTGCAAGCAAGGTGCAAGATGAACGCACAGATGATTCAATTTCTTCGCATGACACAGCCTCATTACTAGGCCTTAATGGTGAGTTTCCTGCCCTTACCGACACCTTGAGTATGGGGTCAGCTGCTAAAAACATCGGGGGTAAAGATGCATTACAAGAGCAGCTTCCTCTGCAAACTGAAAATAATGATCGCAACCTGTTCGATGAAATGCTTAAGCCAAGTTCCAGCATAGCAGTCAAAGAAGCTAGTCATTCGCAACCTGATTCAACCAAGACAACAAAAGAACAAGCACTTTCAGCACCTAAAGGTAAGCCTTCAGCTCTCAATTGCCCCTTTAGTGAGCTGTTTGCTAACAACCGAAAGCCAGCAAATGGCCTCAAACTTGCCTACACTCCCCCGAGTAAAGGAGTTGTTAAGCTGGACTTCGAGGATGTTGATGATGTTAAAGAGACTTGGGGCTTTTGCCTTGTGGGTTATTTCACACATAGGCACCCCGGTAAAGAAGCCTTGCTCAATATCTGCAACTCTTGGGAGGTGCCCTTTGAGTATATCCCAGATGTTAACGGCTGGATAATGTTCAAGTTCTCATCCGAGGAGGACCGTGCCAAAGTTCTCCATGGGGGACCCTACACAATATATGGGCGTACCCTCCTTCTGAAAACGCTGCCTGACTGGTTTCGATTTGGAGACGATGACATCAAGATGGTACCAGTGTGGGTCAATTTACCATATTTGCCTCTCGAATGCTGGAACGAGAAGGCCATAGGAAAAATAGCATCGGGCATAGGCAAGCCTATCACCACTGACAAGCTCACTGTAACCAAGCAAAGGTGTAACTACGCTCGAGTCCTTGTTGAGATAGACGTTTCCAAGGATCGAGAGTATGCCATTCAAGTGGAAACTCCCCTCGGGGATTGCTTTGCCCAAGAAGTTGTTTATGAATATGTCCCCCATTATTGCAATAACTGCCACCACATAGGCCACTTGCCTTCTAAATGCAGCACAATGGATATGGAACCCAAAGGAAAAAAGAGTCATGCCCAACCTGTAAAGCAAATGACAACACAAGGCAAGGGGGTCCACATGGCTTCTAAGGGGCATCACCAACCGTCAGGCAACCAAGCTAAACAACCGAAGTCCCCAGTCCACGCCACCAAGTCCGCTGGAGATAATGAGCCGACAAATAAGGGTGGAGACCAAACCCTTCAGAATGAGATAAACCAAGAGAACAAGCAGCTCTCCAAAGCAGAGGGTAAGCGACCCATGATAATCAGCGAACCCGAGGTCGATCAAGGCCTTGATGGTGGCCTAGCCAAAGAAGCCGAGGGTATACTTCAAAAGAGTTTGCAGATCACAAAAGCCGGGGGTATAATGCCCAAGGAGGCCAATGTAACTGTAGTGGAACAAGAGCCGAACCTTGGCAATGACAATGATGTCGATGAGCTGCCCTTCCAAGTGGTTTTCAAGAAGAAAAAATCTGCCAACCATGCGAACTCTTCAAGCCAACCGGGACTGAAAATACCATCAATGAAGATGAAGGACATTGTCCTAATGCGAAAAGAGCCACATAAATCACATTTGAAGAAGGGGGCTACCCCCTCCTCCAAACAATGATTATCGCCTCGTGGAATGTTAGGGGCTTTAACGCGCCCCTTAAACAGGATGAGGTCATCAAACTCATCCTTGCGAATAACATTGATGTTTTGGGACTTGTGGAGACAAAAACTGATTGTCGACGTCTCTCTCGATTTGTTCATAACCGGCTTCGGGGATGGAACTTTTGTGATAATTTTGGAATAGTGGACCATGGTCGTCTTGCTATCATTTGGAATCCAGCTAAAGTGGATCTTGTTATTGGGGACATCCTTCCTCAATCCATTTCTGCCTCCCTCACTTGCAAGATTAGCAACAAGCACTTCTTTGTCAGCTTTGTTTATGGTCTCCATAGTAGGGGTGCTCGAAAGCAGCTTTGGAGAGACCTTGAGAGCTCTAAGGCCCTCAATAATAATCCTTGGCTTCTGTTGGGGGACTTTAACACGATTCTCAGACCTGAAGACAAGATCAATGGAGAACCTGTCACAAATAGGGACTTCATGGATTTTGAAGAATTCTGTGATAAATTCGAGCTAGTGGACATTCCTTCCTCCGGATTTTTCCATACTTGGACCAATAACACGATTTGGACCAAGATTGACCGTGCAATGGTGGACGACCGATGGCTTCAAGATGGCCTCTTCTGCCATGCTAGCTTCTTAGCTCCAGGTATTTCTGACCACACACCATGCATTGTTTCATTATTTGAGAGCAACAAGAGGCAAGGATCTCCTTGGAGATTTTTTAATATGTGGGTCAATCATGAAAACTTTAAGCCGAGGGTACAACAAGCATGGCAACTTTATGTCCGAGGCACCGCACAATTCAAACTTTCCACACGTCTTAAGGCCTTAAAATCCGAGCTTAAAGGCCTGAATGCTGAGCACTTCTCTCAGATATCTGTCCGTGCTAATAATGCAAAGCAAGCACTTAAGCAAGCCCAGCAATGTCTTCATGACCGGCCCAATGACCTTGGGATTAAAGCATCGCTTCCAACCCTTCGAGTTGAGGCCCTGAAGCTTGCCAAGGCTGAGAAGCACTTTTTTCAGCAAAAAGCTAAGTGCAACTTTCAAATCAAAGGGGACAAGTGCACAGGCTTTTATCACGCCGTTGTCAAACGAAATGCAAAGAAAAACTTTATTGCCTCAATCACAAAGGAGAATGGCAGCCGAACCAACTCCCTTGAAGAGATCTCGAAAGAGTTTGTAAGTCACTTTGAGAAGCTACTAGGGACTGAGGTCTCGACCGAGGATATCGACCCAACTGTTATCCGAGATGGCCCACTTATCACACAAGAGCAGCAAGAGTCACTCCAGGCCCCAATCTTAGATTCCGAAATAAAGGCAGCTCTGAATGATATTGAAACTAACAAGGCACCGGGACCAGATGGATATACATCCATGTTTTTTCAAAAAAGTTGGGACATTGTAGGGGCAGATCTTGTCGCAGCCGTACAAGAGTTTTTCAGAAATGGGCGCCTTCTTAGGCAATGGAACCATACATCACTAGTAATGGTTCGCAAGTCCAGCCATGCATCCCAGGTATCCGACTATAGACCAATTGCTTGCTGCAATACAATTTACAAAATCTGCTCAAAGATCATAGCTCAGCGCTTGAGCACTGTTCTTGGTACTATCATTGATGGGGCACAGGCAGCATTTGTGAAGGGGCGGAATATGACAGACAATATCCATCTTATGCAACAGCTTCTTCGGCAATATATGCAAAAGCGGATATCCCCTCGATGCCTGATCAAAATTGATCTTAGAAAAGCCTTTGACTCTATATCTTGGGATTTTCTAAGACAAGTTCTCTGTGGTCTTGACTTCCCAACGACTTTTATTCAATGGGTCATGGAGTGCGTCACCTCTACATCATACTCCATCTTGATTAATGGGTCACTTTGCGGTCATTTCAGAGGTGCTAAAGGGCTCCGACAAGGTGATCCGCTTTCACCATACCTTTTTGTCATCTGCCTTGAATATCTTTCTAGGCTACTTAACAGGAACACAGCACAAGGAACAAAATTCAATCATCATCCAAAATGTGAGCAACTCAATATTACTCACTTGGCATTCGCGGATGACTTGATGTTACTATCTCGAGGCGATCCATTATCCATTAAAATTTTGATGGACTGTATTAGAGATTTTGGGGCCAAGTCAGGGCTCCATATGAATGTGCAAAAATCGAACATTTACATGGCTGGGGTGGGACAGTTGGACCACGATGCAATCATTCAAGGCACAAATCTTTGCCCTGGCACCATGCCTTTTCGCTATCTCGGCATTCCCCTCACAGCAGAGAAGGTGACAGTGGGCCAATTTGATGAGCTTGTTGAACAGGTTTCAAAATATATAAACGGGTGGAGCGCATCCACTCTTTCATATGCTGGGCGCTTGGAGCTAATCCGATCTGTTCTCCAAGGAGTTGAATGTTTTTGGATGACAATATTCCCGCTACCTTCGGCTGTTCACACAAAAATCATCCAACGCTGCCGTAAGTTTCTTTGGGGCTCGAGAAGCGCAGCAGTAGCGTGGGACCGTCTTAGCTTGCCGCGATCCGAAGGTGGACTAGGCCTTCGTGACTTGAGGACTTGGAACAATGCTTTACTCGCCCGTACCCTTTGGAACATTCATGCAAAGAAGGATACATTGTGGTTTCGATGGGTCCATCACATCTACCTTCAACAGAAATCAATATGGGAATGGTGCGTTCACACACGCGATCCACCCCTATTCAAAGAGCTTTTCAAACTTCGAAATATGATGATCCAAAAGTTGGGCAGCACTCACGCCGCAGCAGACAAATTGAACAGTTGGGACACAAATTTCAAAATCAAGGGGCCTGCGTGTGTATATGAGTTTTTTAGGCCACGAGGCACACCCGTGCCTTGGTGTGGAGTAGTATGGGGCCCGTGCAATACCCCAAAGCATGCATTCATATTATGGCTCGCTACTCTTGGAAGGCTTCGAACCAAAGATCGCCTGGGCTTCTTAGAAATGGACCCAACATGTGCCTTGTGTGGAAACGCAACTGAAAGTGTGGACCACCTTTTCTTTTCCTGCCCATTCACTGATAAGGTGTGGTCCGTCATCAAATGTTGGTTAGGCCTTAACCGACAAATGAATACATTAAAGAGCGCATTGAAATGGATCAAGAAGGAGGCTCAAGGGGCCGGATGGCAAACCAAAACAAAGAAGGCCGGGCTAGCAGCAACGGTCTACTATGTTTGGAATGCTCGGAATAGGAAGATCTTCGAAGGTGAAAACCAACAGCCAGAGCTTGTAGCCCGCAAGATCCAAACACATGTGTACCGCACAATTTTTGCACTTTACCCAAACGTGCTCGCTGAATTCGAAAGGAAGGCCCTTGGTGTATGCTAGGCCGTCCTGGGGACAGTAAAACGCTTGTTAACTGATGATGGGACTTCGAGCTAGAGCAATGAGATGATTGCCACAAACATGAAGCATATCAGAATGCCCCAACCCACAAGGTATCCATGCTATACCTTGCTTTTGACATTTGCCGAGATAGGCTGCGTGCCGTACCACGCCTTTGATTTTGTCTTTCAGTACTATTTTGGGACTAGATTGAGCAACCGACTTGTGGTTCGCCTTTTAGTCTTTTGACTCGCAAGAGAGGAGTCGACATTGTGGCTGCCCTCTTTGCTTTCGTAATCCGTGGGACAAATGATGTACCATCAGTTTTGATCAATATATTTTTATTTTAACGATCAAAAAAAAAGAAAGAGCTCTCAGTCTGTCAATCCTTACTATGTCTGGACCTGGTAAGTTTCCCCGTGTTGAGTCAAATTAAGCCGCAGGCTCCACTCCTGGTGGTGCCCTTCCGTCAATTCCTTTAAGTTTCAGCCTTGCGACCATACTCCCCCCGGAACCCAAAGACTTTGATTTCTCATAAGGTGCCGGCGGAGTCCTAAAAGCAACATCCGCCGATCCCTGGTCGACATCGTTTATGGTTGAGACTAGGACGGTATCTGATCGTCTTCGAGCCCCCAACTTTCGTTCTTGATTAATGAAAACATCCTTGGCAAATGCTTTCGCAGTTGTTCGTCTTTCATAAATCCAAGAATTTCACCTCTGACTATGAAATACGAATGCCCCCGACTGTCCCTCTTAATCATTACTCCGATCCCGAAGGCCAACGTAATAGGACCGAAATCCTATAATGTTATCCCATGCTAATGTATACAGAGCGTAGGCTTGCTTTGAGCACTCTAATTTCTTCAAAGTAACAGCACCGGAGGCACGACCCGGCCAGTTAAGACCAGGAGCGCATCGCCGGCAGAAGGGAC